AGGTCACTCAATACAAGAACAGCAAGTTGGTCCAAGTTCATGAGGGACAACAGTCCTTTAAAGCTCGACAGCCGGTTGTCCGCCAAGTTCAGTTCCGTGAGATTCACGCAGCCATTGAGCGCCGTGTCAATGCGGTCAATACGGTTACGACACGCCCAGAGCTGCGTCAACTTCGTGAGTCTCCAGAGTCCGTCAAGCCTTTCCAATTGGTTCAGGTTCACCCACAACTTCTCCAACTTCACCAGCGCGTCCAAGTTTTCAAGTCGTCGGATCTTGTTCGAGCTCAGATTTAGCTGCTTCAGTTTGGTTCAGTTCCCCAGGTTAGCGATCTTTGTGAGCCCACACTCGGTAATGCACAATTTCTCCAGGTTGATGCAGTTGCTGACGCCATCGAGTTCGCAGATCGTCGGCTGGTTGATGACCGAGAGCTCCCTCAGCGCTGGGAAGTACGCGACGCTCCTCATGGACGTCCAAAAGCCCAGAAACAAGTCCAAACTCGTCACTGCCTCGCTATTCCGCGCAAATTGAGCGGCTGTGATACCGTTCTCCCTGCAGAGCAATTCGAGGTCGGGAGACGTCGCGAAGACCTGCATCTTCTCCTGCTGGGAGACGGACAGCGCGTCTCCATTGCCAGTTGGCTCTATCACAGTCTCCGTCTGCACTGCGTCGCTTCGGGCAATAATTCGTCTTCAACACTCGCAGGCGGACTGCTTGGCCTTGAAGAGTTCATGCTGCCACCTCGAAGGCACTGCTTGCTGGGAGGTCGGTGGGATTTGGCTGAAGGGAGACGCGCTGGAGGAGCAGCAGAGATAGGCGGCAGAGCACTCGAGTCAGCAGAGGAGGGGCTCGAAGTGCCTCGTCCTGTCTCCATCCTTTTATTCCTACCAGAGCTATCCTATTCCTCCAAGAGTCTGGACCTTGACCTTGAGGCGATTACAATAACGTGCACTGCGTCGTTTCGTCCTATTTTTGTCCCCAACTTCAAGGTAGCAGCAGCCGTGTTTTCAAAGTTCTTTTGCAGCTGAACTTGGAGCTAAATTTTGGCCAATCAAAAAGTTCTGGGCTCGTGTGTTAAATAGGTTAAGTGAAAGGAGCCCTTCAAAACTGTGAGAGCCCTCGTTAAGAGCCCCCCCCTACAGGTTAACTAGGGCTCCGCGAAGGCTGGGATAGGAGGCTTTTGGGATAACTCCTTTATTACTTTTTTTTACGATCCACAGTCATCTCCTGCGCCTGCTTCACAGCCGCAGCATCTGCCCGGTCATTCACCTCAACGGCGAAGATGCAAGATACGACTAGGCAGTAATTATACACAGTAATGAAACGAACCTCGCTCGAGATCTAGCTCGTAGAGAAATATGCTACAGTCCTGTAGTAGTCCGTTCAATTCAATCATTCACCTTACATCACTCCATCCGGTTCAGTATATGCTACTGACCCATACCGTTTCAAACTGTCCACGCATATAAATCTTTTGGAGGGCCCAGTGCGGCACCGGGGTCATACCGGTTTCTGGAAATGTGCCAGTTGGATGTCAATATTTTGACTTGACGTACCACGATATAATCCTATTTGGTCTGCGATAGCAGCACTAACGTTGCTTCCTATCCCAGTAATATATCTTACTACCGATTGGCTGTAGTGTGCGGTCTTCAGGTCCAAACTTCGACTTTAGGAAGCATGCTGTACATTGTCGCCGCCACGTTCTTCGCTCCTATCTCTTCAGTGCAGGTCACATGAGCATGGCGCAGCTACGCTCGAGCGCGAAGGGCATCGAGGATCGCGATCTTCTGGAGGATTTTCCAGGATCTAGCTCAACCGGGTCCCAAGGAATAAACCTAGATAGCGTAAACTAATCAGGACAGCGCGTCAAGAGCCCGCCAAACTACAACGACAGCATCGAAGAGCCCAAGCGGGGAGCCCTGCAGGAAGGCGGGCTCCTCGTTGTCGTACCTATGCGAGGGGAGCCCGATTCGGGGCTCTTTCATATCACGACTTTTGAAGTTGAAGGGCCCCCCGGGCCTTTTAACCCCGAAATCGGTGATATTTTAATATTCCCAGTATTGTAATACTGGGAATATCTCCCCGGTCAGAGGATTAATATTGTAAATACATCGGTAATACTTCGTTCTCATAAATGATATTTATATTACTGGGATAGGAAGCAACGTTAGTGCTGCTATCGCAGACCAAATAGGATTATATCCGTGGTACGTCAAGTCAAACGATGACCCCTCTTGACATCTAACTGGTATATTTCTTGAAACCGGTACGGCTCTGGTGCCGCACTGGGCCCTCCAAAAGGTTTATATGCGTGGGCAGATTGAACCGGTGTGCTACCGACGACACCGGTATGAACCAGTGCATATATTGAGCAGGGTACGGATGGACAAAGTGAAGTAAAGAGAACGCTTGGACTGTACAATAGCACTAGTTTGCATTTTCTACAAGCTGCAAAACAGATCTCAACCAAGGTTTGCATTTTTAATTTCGTAAAGCATTGCCGGTTGATATCTTGCATCTACAGCTTTTAAGAAAAAATCCGGACAGATGCTGCGGCTGCGAAGCAGGCGCAGGAGATGACCGTAGCTAGTAAGAAAAATAATTAAAAAAAATTAAAAAACGACAGGTTTATACCAAAATTCTCCTATCCCAGCCTTCGCGGAGCCCTAGTTCAAGGGCCAACAATTGTGAATATTTCCTTTAACAACAACAACAATACCTCGTCGTGAGGATTGGCCCCACAGTCAATGGGCGCTCCATCTCTGTGTAGTCTGGCAAAGTACTACAGTGCATTCAGTTAAGAGATATTTTACGGCGCTACAGCGCATTGGAGAATGCTGCAGGAGAGACCTCCGTCATGAGGATTGACAGGATGGGGCTCATGATGCCAAATGCACCGGCGGTGAGAAGCTGGAGACCCACGATCGCGGCCACAGTGCACGGGGCACCACGCTTACGCTGCGGCATGCGGGGCGCGGAGGTGTCAGCGGCGGCGGTGGTGCTGTCCATCTCGGTCGGATACTTCACTGGGAATGAAAACGTGATACCAAAACCTGTGAAAACCGATCACTACGACCAGAAAAAAGTTGAAGATGACAAAAGGGGTTTTAAACGTAGCTCTATCGTGTGTTTTAGTATCGATATGCATCTAATGTGCACTTTTACACTTCAGAGGAGTTCGCTCCTAGCGAAGGCTCAGAGAGCAATTGGTCGTCATCCAGCACGGAGCTAGTGGCATACTCCACTCTGTCGCCCTTTTCCACTTCATCCTTGTCAGTCTCGAAGTACACGGAAGCCAAAGCCGGAGTTTCGTCCGACACGGGTGGCGGCAAAGGAGCAGGTTCAACAGCGACTTCACTCCGCGACGGGGGCGTCTTGCTCACGGGTAGCGAGACAGCCACTGCGATCCCGACGACGTAGACGCACGAGGCAACGATGTACGGGAGAGCTTCGGACAGAAGGGACTGCCGGGTCATCGCAGCGTACAGCGAGGAGAAGACGATGGGGCCGATTGCGTCAAAAACTGATCGAGCGCCATAGATTGCGCCTTGAAGACGTCCTTGTTCCTGCAGATTCAGAGTCAAATTATGATAACCCCGTCAATGTTTTAGCTTGTTCAGGTGAATAGATGCTAAAACATACCTTCTCCGAGACGTTCATTGACTTGAGAGCCGATATGGCGGGGAAGGTGAGGTCTCCGATGCAACCAGGGATGAACGACAGGAATACGACCCATTTGTGCGGGTAAAACGCGGCACCGGCAAAGCCGCCCGTCTTCATCAGACTGGCGATCAGCGCGATGATGATCACGCCTTTCTCCTTGAAGCAGCCCACCAGCGCCTTCACCAGTAGCCCCTGTCCTAGCAGTGCTAAGACGCCTCCGAGTAGCATCAAGTTGGCAAAGTCTTTCACATCGAATCCCACAATTGTCTGAAATCCACCATCATGGGCTGCGTTAGACCAGCTCGCAATTGCGTTTATATTGTTGGGGACGTACATTCAGGAAAAAGGACTGGATCTGGAAAATCCCGTTCCTGATGAAACTCGTGATCACGATCAAGCACGTCAGCCGCATGAACAATTTATTGCGGAAAAGGATGGACAGAGAGCTGATAGGACTCTCCATCACCCAATGCGTCTTGGTCATACGCGAATGCTTCGGTACCGTTTCGGGCAGAATGCATACTGCCCAAAACACCCGGATCACGAAAATACAAGCGGCAATCTGCAGAACTTGCTCCTACATAAATAAAAATCATCCGCGTTAGAAACGAACAGTCAGCAATACAGTCATAAACCGAGCAGCAAGTACGAACTCGAGAGAAGAATGGGGCTGCGAAAGCACTCAAAAGAAAACCCTGAAGACAAGCTCGCAAAAAGAATGCCAAATGCTGCTGCGCGGTTCTCGGGGGACACAATGTCGCGACCGCAGCGCCCATAACTCCAGCAGTTCTGGGTCAAGATCAATATGGCTGTTAGTACATAGGGGAAACCGAGATACGTACCCAAACCCATAGTCGATTAGCCTAGTACAAAGTACGGCGTGATGGATCCGTGTGGCTGCATGAAATACATGATGGAGAATGGCGTACCAACCCTTGCGAGCTGGTTTAGCACCAAAAACGGCT